GCATTGGAGCCAAGCCAAGGGCAATTTTTATGGCATGCTGGTTAGCCAGACTGTTTGAAAATAAAAGTTCAGGAACTGCCCTCAAGGTTGTTTTTTTTTTTTTTTCCTAATTCAAGGGAAAATGGCTACCTCTCAGGGGCCACTGGTTCCACATGGGCTGCTGAGCTAATATACAGAGGGATGCTGCATGAAAGGAAGAAAGTACACTTAAAGCAAGGATATGTGTGCCTTCACTAAGAGCGTGATCTCAGAGGGGGACTTGGGCTGGCATCACCAAGATGGTGATCTTTCGACAGAATTAGAAATTGTTTTTTTTCCCTAGAAGCTGCAGCCTCTTTGTGTATAAACGAGAATTAGGGAAGGATAGACTGGCTTGCAGTCTGAGTGTGGCAAAGCAACAATGACTTTAGGGGTAGCGGTGACCTTCTCAAGTTTCAATTGTATGGAGAACTCATGGCCCCTTTGTGGACTCTTTCATACCCAGTAAAAGTTTGAATACTTAAAAATCTGCCTGGCCTGCAGGATCCCCAGTGATTTGGTTAGTTACAGGGTCTGTACATCGAGGGTCTATCGGTACCTAGTTACAACCTACTCACCCTTAAAGGATCTGATAAAATTGCCTCTCCTAGGTATTCTCTGGAGGCCCTAGAACCCTGGGCCAGATAGAAGGGCTGGCCTCATTGAACTGGGCAGGAAAATTCTCATAATACCAGCCACCAGAGACATAATTGTCCAAGAATACCTTCTTCATTCCATTCCTCAGAAGGGTACACAAAATGGTGCCTGCATTCACCCAAACATTTGCTCTTCCTCAGGGTAGGAAGGATGATACACCCTGAGCCTGGCCTCCTGGGGCAAACACCTGGTGACTTCTGGACTATCCCCACCCTTCGACTGAGATGATAAACTTATGATGAGCCAGGTACCTTTTGTTTCCCAGGGAGAAACAGTCTTTCTCAGATTGTCAGTAAATAGTACCCAACTTTGGCAACAACTGAATGACGGAGGGGAGGGCGGGGAGGGCAGCAGAATGTGGTCTAGTCTAGCGGCTCCGTAGGAGACTCCGTGTCAGCAGTCCTGGTCTTAGTACCAGCAGCCTCTCTGACTCACTGTGGGCACATCACATTGTGTTTACCGGATGGTATTTGGATCCGAAATGTGACTGTGGCTCACTCAGCTGAGTGTCTTGTACATGAGTTGTTAATGAAGCACTTTAGCAGCAAACCCAGGGCTTAAAATATTGTGCACACAGGAGGTGAGTAACTAGCCTTTAAAGAAGATTATCAGGGACGCCCTCAGTGGCTCAGTCGACTGAGCGTCAGACTTCGGCTCAGGTCATGAACTCACAGTCTGTGAGCCCCACGTGCGTGTGCGCGCGCTCTCTCTCTCTCTCTCTCTCTCTCTCTCTCTCTCAAAAATAATAACTAAACATTAAAAAGAAGAAGAAGAAAGCTATCAGAGACCTGTCAACTGTGAGGAAAATGGATTCACAGTGGGACCGGGTGGGAGACATTCCTCTAAATCAGTTACCGTGAGCTCCACAAGTAGAAAAAACACTTGGAAGTGGATTGTGAGGTCTCCTGGATTCACCGAGAGTCTCCTGGAGGCCTTGGAGACGCTCCTCACCCTCGAGGGGAATGATTTCCCTCTTCAGGACTGTGTCAGTTTGGGTCCTCCAAGAAGAAGACGCTAACCATGGATTAGCTGGGGAGGAGTTGTGATGGCTGTGAAGGATAAGGGGGAGAGAGCTGGAGTAGCTGGGGCCCCGGTCACCATACCCGTAGGCACAATAGTCACTGTGCCTAGGAGCCGGGACATTTTTAGGGATCCATGAGAATGTTTTCACTCTATTTATTCTAAAGTCAGAAGAGAAAAAATGAATGTGATAGCAACAAATATAATAATAAATCTGCCTAAATTATGTTCATCTTTACACCAATGCAGTCATAAAATATAATGTGTAATATTTTTTAAGTTTATTTTTTTTATTTGGGGGGGAGGCAGAGAGAGAGAGAAAGAGAGGCCCCTACAATGAAGTCCCAGGGAAACAAAGTGTTAGGTCTCTCCTCCCGCCAGGCCCGCACCCCTACACTGGCCTATATCATGGAAAGGGATTCTGTTTCATTAGAAGACCTGTTTCAAAGAGCATGAAATATTTCCTCTCTGCCTTTGACACAAGAGTCATCAGTGAGCAAAGGTGTGTTACAGAGACTAGCTGGTCACACGTGCTCTCTGTGAATAAAGTATTCTAGCTGAGGCTGGCTGGCCCCCCACAGCGCTACAGGGGGCACTGGAGCTTAGGATGGGGGGCCATGGCCTTCCTTCCAGTTCAGACATTTCTCTGATTCTGTTTAGTCTGACATTCTGATTCTTCCTTTAAAATCCCTTCCCAGGGGTGCCTAGGTGGCTCAGTCAGTGAAGCATCCGACTCTTGATTTCAGCTCAGGTGATGATCTTGGTTCGTGGGTTCGAGCCCCGAGTCGGGCTCTGTGCTGACGACGCGGAGCCTGATTGGGATTCTCTCTCTCCCTCTCTCTGTGCCCCCCCAACTCGCACTAGCTCGTTCACTCTCTCTCTCAAAATAAACTCTAAAATTAAATTAAATTAAATTAAATTAAAATAAAATACAATAAAATAAAATAAAATCACATCCCAGAGTCAGCAAAGTGGGAGCCCATCAGCTGTTTCCAGCCCGCAGATATGTTTATTTGGCATGTACAAAGTTTAAAAAATTGTGGCGGTGGATGTTATGGGTTGAATTGTATTTCCTCAAAACCATATGGTGAAGTCCTAACTCCCAGCACTTCAGAGTGTGACCTTATTTGGCAGCGGGGTTGCTGCAGATATAATTAGTTAAGATGAGGTCATACTGAAGTAGGTCCCTAATCCAGCATGACTGGTGTCTTCATAAAAGTGAGGGGGAGGCAGACAGAGAGAGAGACCTGGACAAAGGGAGAACACCACATGACTCTGAAGGCAGAGATCTATCAGCCAAGGAAGGCCAAAGATTGCCAGTCAACCACCCAACGCTGTGGCAGAGGCGTGGAACAGATTCTCCACGGCCCTGGGAAGGAGCCAGTCCTGCCCACACCTTCGTCTGAGACTTCTCGCCTCCCGAGCTGGGAAAAACATATATATTTCCATTGTTTAAGCCACCCAATTTGTGCCACTGTATTATAGCAACACTAGCAAACTAATACTGGGGGTATCATTTTCAGATGGATAGATTTTCTATGAACATTTAGACTTTGAGCTTCAGTGGGAAAAGCCTGAGGCCCCAGCCTGGATGTCGGGGCATCAGCTGGTAGCACAGGGAAGGATTGCAGTCAGTCTTGGGACCAGAGAACACAGGCCCTTGCGAGGGGCCGCCACTCTTACACCAGGGGCTCGCTGCAGCGCGAGAATATGGGCTCAGCGCTATCAGACTTTCTGATGTATTTCTAGAGGAGCTTGATTTCTGTTTCTCATTGCTGATGAAACAGGATTTCAAATGTTGGCAACTAATTGATCACTCTGTTTTCTCCCTGACCCGCTCCACTTCAGTTTGCATACTTGATCTGGCTGGTCCCTCCGGTCATCTGAGTTTGTGATCGCCATTTGTTCAGAGTTGCACGGCCTGGCAAGATGCCGAGAGAAATTCTAGTTCAACAAGGGAGATGATTCAGGGGGTTGAGCAATTTGCTGCCGGGAGAAAGCAAGCCCTGATGTATCCACCTGTCCCCTCTGCCCTGTTGAGTGAGAAGCTTTCTGAGGCTGGATCTGTGCTTTGAATAATCATTTGTTGGGGCCTGTTGCACACCGGGTGGTGGTCTAGAAGCAAAGCAAGTATCCGGTGTATGATGGCATATATTCTTCCTAATCCCCTTACTGCTGAGGATGAAAGGAAGTATTGTTAATAGTCACCATGTACTAAAAGAAAGATATTAAGCTGTAATTGTTCTGAACTCATAAATACAAAAGGTCATTCTGTTGAAGCTACGTTGCATTGCCCTCCTCCATCACTGCAGCTTAAATCGCTAATAATAAAAACCACCCTTTACACAAAACAGACAATGGGGAAGGCATGGTACCAGAATCATTAATGACATTCCTTTCATTATAATTGTGTTAGGCAATTACAACGTGCCAGCCCATGGTAAGCACTTCACGAACATAATCTCGTTTAATGCTCATATTAGCCCTGGGAGGGGAGTATGTGGTTCTCACTGTAGAGATCAGGACACCGAAGCCCAGAGATGTTTAGTAACTTGCATGAGGTCCCAGCAGGACTCAACCTCAGGTCTCTTCAGTGCCAGATCCAGGCTCCGCCCCCACCCGCCGCCCCACCCGCCACCCCCACTTCCTGCTTCTCCAAGGTTTGTCTCTTTTTTCACAAATGCCTCTGAGGAAGTGCCTTGCCCCGATCCCATGAGCCTCGATCAGGAGTGGGTGTCCCAAGCCCCAACACCCGAATCCCAACCCTGTCTACATGTTCTGATTAGGCACAATTTGTAATCTCGTCTGAAGTCAAAATCTTAGTTTCTCTCCAAAAAGACTCCATGACATTTTGTGTATATTGTAAAGATGTACAGGAGGGGCCCCCTGTGCCCCTGAAGGAACAGATGGTATGCCTGGCATGTTCTTAGAAATCTGGGAACTCAACAGAAAGCCTGGGAGAGGGGGGCCTCCCGGGGTAATGTTCTGTTTCTTTCCACAGCTGTGTTCAGCTCCCGAACATTACAGCACTTTGCAGCTGACGCTTCTACCTTTCATGTGTGTATTTCACTTCAACCGAAAGTGAGGCAAAGAGACGGGGTGGGTGTTGTCCCGTCCTTGGCAGAGCACGTGGAGCTCCTCGCGCTCCCCCTGCCCCCACCCCCTCCCCAGCCGCCACACCCACCCGCTCCGGCCACACTTCTCGCGGCCAGAATCGTCTCGCGCCCTCTGAAACACCCCCGCTTCCCCCCACCCCCACCCGCCAGGCCTGTCTTAACGCAGTGTGTCGTCTGTGTGGTTTTCAGGCCACTACATGTACGTGGACTCGGTTTACGTCAAGCACTTCCAGGAGGTGGCGCAACTCATCTCCCCGATGACCACGGCCCCCATGTCCGGCTGCCTGTCGTTTTATTACCAACTCCAGCAGGGGAATGACAATATCTTCTCCCTCTACACTCGGGATGGGGCTGGCCTTTACGAGGAAATCTGGAAAATGGACAAGCCAGGGAATGGTGTGTGGAATCTTGCTGAGGTGGAGTTCAGCGCGCCGTACCCCATGGAGGTAGGTCCGCCAGGTGTGTCCACGTGGGCCCTGGCCGCACTGCTCTGCGCAGGCGCACAGGCCTGGCGATCGGGCGACACCGGCGGCCACGTTCGTCCGTTCTTCTCCGTGCGTGTCCGTCTACCTTTTCCCTTCTTTGGCCCCCTCTGCTTTCCCCTTACTTTTCCCTCTTCCTCTCTCTCCTCTCTTCCCTCTTCCTCTTTCTTCCTGCTTGGTCATCTTCACTTTCTACCAAGACTCTTCTTAAGGACAGATAGAGAAAAAGCCAGTCAATCAACTCCATTTCTTGAGCCCACTTCCCTCGGAACCTCGCTCTGTGGTCTTGGTGAGTTCCAAAGAGATGAACGTCCTCTGAGTGAAACCCACTCTTGACTTTCCATTCCTGTGAGCAGGGAGGAAGCTTCCCCTTACTTGAGTGAAGAGTCTTGAGAGAGAGGGACAGAGAGAGAGAAGCCAACTTATTTTCTTCCTTCCTCCTTGACGGTATAAGTAATGTCATTAAAATTAGAAATAGATTTATGATCGTGGCCCCAATTTGAAACAAGCCTTGGTACTTTAGTTTTAAAACTTTTGTAGCTGCACGAGTGATAAATATCCAATGCAGAAGAATTAGAAACTTCAGGAAAGCAAAACCAAAACCCCCCAGGCTAACCCTACAAGGATGAGAACACTAACATTCTGGTGTTCGTCCTTGCAGACCTTCTTTTGAAGCACATACATTATTTATATTTATGTATGTGTTCCGGTACTTGAAACACTCCAGAGGAGATAGGATTATCCCCAAATTATAGATAAGGAAGGAGAAAAGAGAGAGTCCGAACAGTTTGATATTTTGTATCTGGGTCACACAGCTGGTGAGTGCCAGGCACTTAGGAAACTTCTGGACTGAAATCTGACCTAGAGCTGAAGCCAGAGGCCCAGCCCTGTCTGAGGACCACTACCACACCCCCACCCCCACCCCCGCCGCCCCAGGGCCTCTAGAATCAGTGGGTGCAACATTGTGGTTCCAGATTTGGAGCTGTACCTAGAGTCTTAGTTACCACAGGTTTGTTAATATCCCCTTCCTAGCTTTGTGCTTTTTGTAGTATCTTCCCTAGTCCCCTTTAAAGTGCAGAACAAGTAGATTATTCCCTGCATGCTTTTTAGTGGTGCCATCTGCTCACCTGATGTGGAGCTTCCGAGACTGGAGCTTGGGACTGGACTGGTTTGTGACATGTTCTAGCTACTGAAGACATGCCTGCCACACCCCTTACCCCCTTCAGATCCTCTCCTGTCCCCCCACACAGCTCCAGAGAGAACACACTGCCTTTTGCAGGACGTGTGCTATTTCCTATCCCAAAGTCGGATGAAGCCTTGATCCGCTCATGCAGGCTAGTGGAAAATTTTCTGAGTTTGAGTTACAAAGAGGAAAAGAAATGCACATACTGTTTCAGAAATTTTTCCTTCTGTTGAAGTCAAATGAGTCACACGCGCAGTGACGACCGTTTCTTTGCAAACTCCTTCCATCCAACCATAAACTCCCTGGGCAGCATTTGTGTGAGTGAGACTGCTGGATTTTCTTTTCCATCAGTGCTTGAAAAGTCACAATTCTGGACACTACTGCACTTTAGTTTGTACCCTTTTGGTTCACAGGTGCGTGATTTTGCTCCAGCAGGTCTGACTCATGCTGCTACTGTTTGCTCTTGGTAATTGCCAGCAAAAGAGACTCACTCTGCAGAAATCAGTGAATTTAATGTCGCTGTCTTCTCAAACGGATCTTAGAAAGGAAAACAAGCACCCGAGACCCCCTTTCTGAACAAGAGAGAATGCATCGGCACATGGGCTATGATTCGCAAATTCTGATCAGAAATATTCTCCCTCCACCAGTAAGATCAAGCTCTGTCGTTCACTTTATCAGCTAGCACCCTGAAAATGAAATGTCATGGACCTGGGCTGTGTGTGTGGACTCCATTGCCCCTTGCCACTGATCCACGTCTGTCCCCTTCTTGTTCTCGGCCTTCCCTCGGCCTTTGCCAGCGACAGGCTTCCAAGGCCCCTCTTAGATTATGCAGAATCCAGGTGTCTGTAGGACCATTGTCGTTAAGCTGAACACGACCATCGTGTCCACATTCTTTCTTTCAAAACTGGAGAAACTCACACCTGGTGGAGGGAAGGAACCTGTTTGAGCTAATTAGTGGCTAATGAGGCTCAAACCTGAATATGAGTTCAAGAGGGGGTCGGTCAACCTGGAGAAATAGACATGAATTAAGTACAGAGCTCTATATGCACCTGACTGCATACGAGCGGCCTTATACACCTTATCTCATTTAATCTCAGTAGTGCTATAAGGTAGCAGGTATTATGTCTATTTTATAAATGACGGAAGAAAGCCCTTGAAAGAGTTAGCAACATATTCAAGGTCACCCAGCTAATAAGTGACAGAAATGGGATTTGAACTCTGGTCTGTCTGCCTCCGAGACACTCTTCTCTTTAGAACAGGTTGAGAACTAAGAAGCCTAGGGGTCAAATCTAGCCCACAACGATTTGCTTGGCCGCTAGAGTGGTGTCTATTTGCCTGTTTGAATTCATTGCCAACATTGAAAAAATCCAAAGATTTCAAATAAAAATCTGGAGATCCAGATCTCCTTGACAGTTTGGTAGGTCCGGACACTTCAGGCGGGACTCCCACACGTCAGCAGTGAGTAGCAGCTCCCCACCCCCCCTCAGACCTGGCTTGCATTCTCCCGGATGCGTTCTGCACCCTTTCCTCCTGCGTCTCACTAAGCTCACGTCATGTATTTCTGTTCCCTGCCTGGTCCTGAAGGCATTGGAATTTCAAGCCCTGCAAACCCTGCATCTTCTCACGTTAATTCACCGGAGTGGACCACACCCTGGGGCAGTTTCCCCCTCGGTGCTCGCCACACCTGATCCCCATGGTCACAGGCAGAAGGTAGTCGACTGACCTCAGAGTGGAAGTCGGCGGCAGATAAGGGAGGAAAATGGAAGGGTTCGACCCATTAACAACCTCATGTTCTCTCTAACCACTTGGGGAACGTGCCTGGACATGCTGAAATGCTAACGTCCGTACATAGAATTTGGGGCCTGGGCCACCTGGGTGGCTCAGTTGGTTGAGCATCTGACTCTTGGTCTCTGCTCAGGTTCATGATCCCAAGGTCATGGGACTGAGCCCCACATTGGGCTCTGCACTGAGCATGAAGCCTGCTTCAGATTCTGCCTCTCCCTCTGCCCCTCCCGCACTCATGTGCGTGCATGCGCGCACGCTCTCTCTCTCAGATAAAATTTTAAAAAATAAAATAGAATTTGGGGCCTGATTTTGCCTTAGCTGACAGGTAATCATCTCTGATTCTGCATCTTTGTCCAGAACCCTCACACAGATTTGCATGTGTGAAATGGGAAAGGGCCCTGGAGGGGCTTAGTTCTGTGGGAAGGGCATTGGGAGAACCGAGCCAGCCTTCTGCGAGTAGCCTGTTGTTTCTTTAACTGAAGGTCATAATACAAATCGTCAATTCAGTGGTTCTATCAGAGACTGATATACACTCAAGGGAGGGGGACAAGTCCACCAATAAAATACAACTTAGGGTTTAGGATTCCCTCTCCCTAAGAGAAACTAGAGATCAAGACAGCAGCTGCCTCAGATTTAGGAACATGATTCCTCAGTACTTATAACTTGCCATCACCTGGCTTGATTGACACATCATTTTAAATCACAGTTAAGAGCTCTGAAGCCTACCAGAAAATATGTAAACCTGTAATAATACGTCCTTTTTCTCTGCAGGTTATTTTTGAAGTTGCTTTCAATGGTCCTAAAGGAGGGTATGTTGCCCTGGATGATATTTCTTTCTCTCCTGTTCACTGCCAAAATCAGACAGGTAAGCATTCTCTTTTTCTTCCTCTTTACATATGGAATTTTCCTGATAGACACCTGTGGTCAGGACTTGAATTCTAATTTCCTCACCTCTCCTGTGATCTCCTCCTTTAAAAAATTACTTAACTGAATAGTCATTTTTCTGCTACATTACTCTTTTCTCCCCCACCTCGCAGTGTGAATTTAATTTTTCTGAACCTACAGGGCAGTTGTCAGGTGTTAAGGAACTTTCGTCGTCCCTACCTACTAGGTAATGAAAATCAAAGAATACAAACACATTTCCTCCCCATCTTTCTCTTTAAAGGATAGCTTAGATCCATATACAGGTGGCCAAGTAGGTGGAAAAAACTCTCAAACTCTACGGAGTAGAATTATAAAAATCCTTCCCAATTTTATGTATCCAAAACCTATAAATGTCTTCACGTTTAAAGATGTTGGTGTTGGATACAGTTAGCTTTGGGCTAAATGTTACCTACTTAATTTAACTTCTCTTTCTAAGTAAGTGCACATTCTTTTACGGTGGCCAGTTTTATAATCTCCATAAACTTGGTGTTTGGAAAAGAGAGGGAATTCTTACTTTCTGGGGAACGAGGTAAACAAATCGATTCAAAGTAAGTTAGAAAATGCCCTAGAGTGAGAAGGACGACACTGTATTCATGCTGGCCCAGATAAATGCAGGGGACCTTACCTTTTAGGGAATTTTTTTTTTGAGAGACCCCAGGGAGATAGCGGTTGTCCCATGTTATTAATGAGCCTTCCTTCTGAGTTTAGAAGCATGAGAAGTACATTTTTGAACATGGCCTTTGTAGTCTGACTTTCACTAAAGATAAAAGTTGGTGTCTGATTGCATATGGTCTCAGATATATTCTACCAGCAAGGCGACTGAGAAAGATAATATTTTCTACTTGAGCTGAAGTGTTATTCCAGAATTAGAGAGAAACACTCTAATGTGCTAAAACCAAATGCTATTTTTTTTTTTTTTACTGATTCTAATTTTTAAAAAGTGGGGGGAAGCTAGTGAAACAGATTGAACTAGACAGGGTTTACATATTTACATATTTTCATTAAAATGATTGAATACAAACTGTAATCAAAGATTTTTAAGAGTCTTTAAAATTGGACAGAACAGACACCAACATTGTTTTACTTCTCCAAATCTGACTGTTCTCTAATCTCATCAGCTAATATTTCAGTGATGTTAATAGTAGTTTCATAACCTCTTGTCATTACTTTTAGAAAGTTTCCTTTTTGTCACCAGGCATTTACATTGAACTTTTATATTTCCAAGTTATACATATGGAAAAGAGGTTTTTATTCAATACCTGCATGGAGTAGAGGTTGGGATGAAGAGGC